AAAACAAAAACTAAAGCCCGGAATATAGAACCCTGCTTAAGGCTTCGTAATAGAGCAGGACAGAGGTGCTGACTGAATCTAGGTTTCTTAAATGTTTTTCAACTTCTTAATACAGCTGGATTGAGCAAATAGCTGATAGAGAAAATTAAGTCATTTTAGGCAGAAGTTTCTGACAGTTTTCCCCCTTGTTATTTTTTTTATTCAATTAGAATAAATAACATTATGGAAATTTGCTGAGCATTATAACTATTTCCGTTTTTGAATGTGTACTGAAGTTAGATTATCCTATTCTCTTTGTAGCCTAAATATATTTCACTGCAGAAATGACATTAGATAAAGAAGTCACTTTTGCCCTCTGTAATTAGGTCACTAATATGAATACAATTCTTGTGAACATCAAAATAATCAGAGAATGTGAGGGATGAAGGGGACTTTAGAGACCATCTAGTGTGCAAGGTTTCTTAGCTTCAACAATAGTAGCATTTTGGACTGGATGGTTTTTTTGTTTGGGGAAGTACAGTCTTGTGCTTTGTAGGGCATTTACCAGTACCCGTAGTCGCTATCCACTTAAATGCTATCCACTTAAAAAAGTCCATCCGCCCGCCACGCCCCCACCCAGTCTCAGCTGTGACAATAAAAAATTCTCAATATTGCCAGAGCTACCTGAGGGTGGGGGAGTTACCGCTGTTTTCTGAATTAAACTTTTCCTCATTTACCTAGTTAGTATCATAGCTAGGTCTAGTGTGCCAGAGGTAAGAGAAAACAAAGAATGCAGTTATGGATATAATTTAAAGCCTGGCATTAAATAGAATTGACAGACGGAAAACTTTTATTTAATAAATCTATTCTTGCTTTTATGGTTCTTTCTATTATGTTTAGTTCTTGTTTCTAGGACCTTCAGATTTTGCTGTCGATCATACCATAAACACACTGTTTAATTCAGCTTTTTTTTTTTTTTGGCAGCAAGACTTTCTCAATGAAAGAAGCAATGTGTTGATTTACACTCTAGTGCAAGCTCCTATCTCCTCACTATCCTATAGCCAAGAGTTCACAGATAAGCACAGTCTATAGTCCCCTGTTTGATAGTGCTGATATAGATGATCAGGGCCTCTAAGGGGGCTCCCTATCCAGGCCTCACTTCTTACCTTGAAGCTTTGTTCTCTGCCTGTCATATTCACAAAGCACATCACATTATTAACTGTACTAAATTGATTAGAGGCAAGTAATTCTTTGTTAATTCTCTAAAAATTTGTATTTGCATCTTTATGAGAATGTTTAGGAAGAGAAATGTTTTGAGACAGGTTAAGTCTCTTGATGGCATCACTGATTCTTTCAGAAATTGATTAATTCCATAAATATATATAAATTACACACACACACACACACATATATCAGAGAGAGAGAGAGAAATAGGATGAGAAGGGAGGTAGTTAGGCAAAAGGGGTGGGAGTACTTCCAGCAAGAGTGTTTAGATGGAGAGAAGAGTGTGTGCAGATTCTAAGGCAGGAAGGAATATGGTACATTCCAGAATGGGAAGACGTTTCCTGAAGCTGAGGCTAGAGTTCAAGGGGGGAAATGAGGCCTTGGAAGAGTAACAGAAGGCAGATGGTGGAGAGCTTGTAAGCTAAATTAAGTAGTTTGGATTTTATCACAAGGACAATGGAAAGCCAGGGATGATTTAATAGAGACTTAACAAAGAATATCTATCAGAAAGCTGTTTCCATGATCCAAAGTTTTCCAGTTTTTTTTTTGTTGCTTTCATCTTAGAACTGGTCTTAAAAGTGACCTAGTAAAGAAGAACTAAATCATAATTATAAAGATATCAAAGAAGTTATTTTCTAACTGTATGAGTGTTTGTGGAATGATGCCAAACTAAACAGTGATCAACATCAGATCGCAATTTTGCACAGCTATAAGAGGATATTTGGTTCAGGACCTAACAGCCAGGAAAAAGATCTAGGAATGTGACCAGATCTTTTAGGCAGGAGAGAAAAGCAATGGTTTCTAAATTCAACTTAGAGAGCTAGTGGCCACAATAATTTCTATTAGCATTTGAATAAATAACCTTAGCCCTAACTAGAGCATGCACATTTGGAAAACAGTCACAGTTTTGGAGAAAGCTGCTGTCAGTTCAGTTTTTGTTCTGCTGATAGAACAATCTGTTCCTGTTATGGTGCCCTGCTACCTCAATGAAATAGAGAGATTGCAAGCTGTACAATTGGGAAACCAACAAAGTCAAGCTGTCCTGACTTCTCTGGTTTAGCCTTTGAATTGTCAACTGAGCTATAAACTGGGACATGTTTAACACAGGAGGAGGCCCATATTCCTAACCCCCAAATGTAGAATGCTTATTACTTTTCCCGATTTAATTAAACATATGATTGTTCTATGCAATATGAAGAGAATATGGCCGTTGAATCGGAGGATGACTAAAATAACATCATGGTGCTCTTTGATGTAAAACCAGAGTTTATGTAGCAGAGTGGGGTCTGGCAATAACTCCTGTCATTTTTCAGCTTTAAAGAGTAAGTCTAAACTGCTTCCTTTTGTACTTCATGTAGATGACCAAGACAATGAGAACATTATTAATAGTAAATTCTAGTTAGTAATTTTCTCTGAAGCTATTGGACAAAATTCTTTTCATATCATGAGCTAATAAACAGGAATCTAGTATATTATGCAGGCTGCCTCTCAGACTTTGAAAGCCAGGAAGTTTTTTATTATATGTTAGAAAAAATATCATTTTCAGGATTATTTTGGGACATGTATGTGGTAAAAGTACCATTCAAAATGTTTTAAAATAAATGTTAAATATTTGGCACAATATTTTGAGATGCTTAGTTAAGCACAAGGACTTCTGTGAGTTTTTGCATTAAAATATCAAATTCTTTTCAAATGGAGGTTTGAGGAAAATTATTTTGGTCATATTGGCTTTGGTAATAATTCCATTCATTCAGTGTGCTTTATTTCCTGCCTATTTATTTATTTGTTTGATTGAGAGAGAGCAAGCACGCACGTGTGGGGTGGGGGGAAGGGGCGGAGGGAGAGAGAGAGAGAATCTTAGGCAGGCTCCATACCCAGTGTGGAGCTCCACATGGAGCTCGATCTGATGACCCTGAGATCATGACCTGAGCCAAAATCAAGAGTTGGACGTTTAACTGACTGAGCCATCCAGGTGCCCCTATTTCCTGCCTTTTTAAATACTAATTTTGATTCTGAGAAAATTAAAAAAATGTGTGATAAAGAGATTTTTTCCTTTCACTCAAAAATTAAAAGATCTTAGTAATTTTCAACTTAGTTTTGCATTCCAGGTATGGGTTTACATTAAAAAAGATCTTTCAAAACCTGTATGTTTTGTTTTTCTTTTTTTTGTGGGGGTTAGCAGGTAATTGTTAGTCTATGACTGGAACTTGAAGCAACATTACCATTCTGTCTACATGATTCTTGAAAATAATAGGGGAAATTTCTTCCCTGGGAACAGAACAAAGATGTTGTAAGTGTAAAAGTTGCAGGGTGAAAATATTATAATGCCATACTTAAAAACTATGTTAATATAGGAGTGGAGGAATTGGCTATGGTAGAGACATGTCTTTCAAGATTGACAGATGGCTTAGAAGAGAGCACTGGGGAAATCAAAGACTTTTTTTTTGGTGGATAGTGGGTGTCTAGAACTAGCTACGTTTTCAGAGGGAAGAGGAGTAAGAGTTGGATATGAAGGGGATGTTTTTTCACTCTCACCTCCATGGATACTCTCCGTATCTTTCCGGCTGTTTCCTTTTAAGAGGAAAATTTCTAATCATCATTTTTTGGCTCTATAACAGTGATGCACACTAAATATGAACAGTTTAGGCAGACTAATAGTAGTTAGGGAATCCAGTAAATTGTTTTCCCCAAACTGAGATATTTGGGCAGTCTTCTTTTGATTTCTGTTATTGCAGTGAATTACAAATACTGATTCTCAGACTCTGTCATTATTAAGCATTTCTCCATATAGTTAAGTCTTAAGTATTTTTTTAAAGATTTGTTTATTTATTTAGAGAGAGCGTGTGGGGATGGGGAGGGGCAGAGGGAGAGAGAAAGAATCTCAAGCAGACTCCCCGCTAAGCACTGAGCCCAACGTGAGGCTCAATCTCAGGACCCTGAGATCATGAGCTGAAATCAAGAGTCGGATGCTTAACCAATTGAACCCCTCCATATAGTTTAATCTAATTGCTTTTTAAAACTTGTTTAAGATTTTCCACAATAAAGATTTTTTTTTAGATTTAAAAAATTTTTTTTAAGTAATCTGTACAATGTGGGGCTCGAACTCATGACCCTGAGATCAAGAGTCACACACTCTTCTGACTGAGCCAGCCAGGTGTCCCACCCACAGTAAAGATTTTAATGTCTTTTTTCCTTCTCTTTCGGTTCTCTCCCAATTTCTCAAGCTTCTCACAGTTTTTAATGTGTAGTATGTGCAGTGAGTGCTGAACTAGCCACTTCTGCACTTTGAACATGATTTTTACCCTTTCCTAGACCCTTCTTTAGTCATCTGGAAAATAAGGAGATGAACTAAAGCAGTGTATCTCAGTGGGGATTATCATAAATCAGGTTTTGTGCAAGCAGACTCTGAGAGGGAGACTTGAGTGCACAAGATTTACTGGTAGATGTTTGCAAAAGATACTCCTGGGATGAAGTTAGGATGGCAGGATGGGGCAGAGGGAGAAGCTAAGTTGCAGCAGGATAGCCAACTGAGGTCTCAGCCAATCCTACAGGGAGCCACAGGGAAAGAGAGGCCCTATGGAATTGTCCCAAGTGGAAGCAGGCCTTTGCATGCCTTTATCTGCCAGATATCATCTGTGGGTTCCCCCTGGGAGGTGCAGTAACCTTGAGCAATGCTCAGTGAGGAGCATAGCTGTGAACCATAAGCAGACAATATTCCCAGCCACTGGGAGATTGGCCTTGAAGAGAGGTTCTGGGCAGAATACCAGCTTCTACTACTAGTACTTTGGGCAGAACAATTCTTTGTTAGGTACAAATAGCCCAGGCATTGCAGACGTGTAGTATCCCTGACCCCACCCACCAGGACTATCAAACATTCTCCACATTTCCAAACAACTCCTGGGACCCTGGTTGAGGATCATAGGAGATCACTAGGCTGAAGCATTGCTCAGTCTACTGTGGATCTAACATTGTTGCTTCTGGACGAGTGAGTATATTTTGGATGAGAGTACCACCTGATCAAAGTTAGAAAAGATCTGGCAAAAGAATGAGTGTGTTATGACTCAAATAATGCTGTGCTGAGCCTAGTTGAATATAAATAGTTCTGGGGAATTACCAGATCAAAGGGCATGAAGATTTTAGAGAGTGTTGCTCTGTGTTGCTCTGTGGAGTGGTTGGGCCAATTTATATTCTCCCTAGCATTCTAGCAATCATATACTTTTACTATTTTCTCTCTATTAACTTGAATCTCTGTAAATTTCATTGTAGACGGAGTCCAGCCAGATAGGTAAGGAAGTGGCAAGATAGGAAGGAAGCTTGTGTACCACAAGATGAGCTACTGTGTCTGTTTTATCCAGGTTTCACTAATGCTTCCAAGAACCCCTCTGATGACACGAGGAGAGCCAGGCAGAGGATAGTGGGCGAATTGCTGGGCCCCTTATCTACAATTAATGTTTAAGAAAAACCAGAACACTTAAAAGAGATAAAGATTTATGGGGAAGAAAATGGAAATGTTTTAAATATTCACTGTACAATTCAAACTCTCTTGATGGCAAACCGTTGTTAGATTAGTTTAGATGAACAGGTTTGATTAGTTCAATGCTGTCTTTTAATATCTATTTTGAGTTCAAAAAGAAATATCTGTAGCTAGCCTCATCTTGTTCCCAAGGGGCCAGCTGGTGCTGGGTTTGGCAGCTTCTTTGGAGAAAGACTCAATGAGTGTGGAGACTAAAATAACAAATTTGTTTTGATATTGAGTGATTCCAGAACATGATTTGAGACTTTAAAAATTAATTGCAGAGGTATCCAGCTATTATCTGTGAACAGAAAAACCTATTGTCTTCCACATTTACACAAAGTTCTTGATGTGGTCCATTTCAGGATCCTTTATTTTCCCCCTGTTTATTTTTGTTTTCTGTAATTATAGTTCATCCAGTAAATAATTAATTTGCCCTCATATTTTAGTGTGTTAGTAGATAATGACACTTTTCTACACTGGTAGAACATGAGTCAGCCCATCAACAGCATATGGCAGAGACCAACATTGAGTTACCCATGTCACTTGAAAATCAAGTTGATGTGTGAAGAAACTTTTAATTTTACTTTGGAGAAAACCTAAAATTACAAGGGCTAGGTTAAGTATTTTGTATTAACTGTATCCCTTGATTTTACATTTTTAAAAGTGACTAATCAATTATCCTAAATGCAAAAAAATGCTAGGAAGGTAGGTGTATTTTGTTATAATAGCAAAACACCCCCAGTATTCTGCTATAAAAACAGATTGGTTTTCTGTAATTGTTTATGGGTCTATTAAAATAGGTTGATATTTTAATCTAGGTTCTTTCATTGTAAGAAATTTAAATAATTATTACAAGGGCAAAACACATTTATTAAAGACAAATCAGGAACTATGGAAACAAAAGGAAGAAAACAAAAAATATTCATAATCCAACCATTTCTAGACAACCATGCTTATATAAACCTTGGTTTACATTCTTCCAAGCTCTTTTCTTCTTTTTTGGTTGCACCATTCCAGACTTTTAAAAAATGCATTTTAGTTACATATAAAATGTATTACATTATTAATAATTATTTCCTAGCCTACTTTAATCAAGTATGTCATGAACATATTTCTAAATTTGGATCCACTTTATTTTTCTATTTTTTAAAAATTTTTATTTATTTGTCAGAGAGAGAGAGCACGAGCACAAGCAAGGGGAGCGGCAGGCAGAGCAGGCAGAGGGAGAAGTAGACTCCCTGCTGAGCAGGGAGCCTGATGCGGGACTCGATCCCAGGACCCCGGGATCATGACCTGAGTCGAAGGCAGACGCTTAACCGACTGAGCCACCCAGGCATCCCTGGATCCACTTTATTTTTCCAAACAAATGAATAACATTTCATAGTATGGAAACATTATAATTTGACCAATAAATTGAGGGCCATTTATATTGTTTTAAATATGCCATTGTTTGGCAGAGCATGATGATGATAATTAACAATACTGTATTATATACTTGAAAAATTTTTTAAAGAATGGATCTTAAAATATTGTCACCACACACACATATACACACATACACAGAATTGTAATTATGTAAAGGAATAGAGATGGAGATATTAACTAATCTTATTGTAATCATTTTGCAATATATACATGTATCTAATCATCATATTGAACATCTCAAACTTACATATGTGATATGTCAATATCTCAGTAAAGCTGAGAACAAATTAAATTACATTTAAAAAGCCATTGTAATTCTTCAGGAATACCTTTGTATATAATTCATTGAATGCTTGTTAGATTAGTTCCTTAGAAACATTCTTAGCAGAATTGCCATGTTTGAAGGCATGCACATTTTTGAATTTGATACAGATTGCCAGATTTCTTTCCAGAAAGGTTGTACCAATTTACACACCCATTTATCAGTCTATAAGCTTCCCCACCAACACTGTGCATTGGCAGTTGTATTGAGTTTTTACAGATAGGTGATTATCAGATTGTTGTTTTAATCATTATCTTTCTATCATTAGTGAGATCAAATAGCTTTTCTTATAGTTTTTGGTCATTTGCTTTTCTTGCATGAATTGTTTCTTTATGTCTTTTAATCTTTAAACTGTAGTGTTCATCTTTTTAAATAGATTTAAAGCACTCTATTGGTTAAAGATATTAACGTTTTGTCATGTGTACTACAATATTTTCCCTAATATTTTCTATTTTTTAATTTTGTTTATGATGTATTTTTTTCTTTTTTTAAAAAAGACTTTATTTATTTGAGAGAGAATGAGAGAGAGAGAGAGAGCATGAGCAGAGAGAGGGAGAAGCAGACTCCCTGCTGAGCAGAGAGCCTGATGTGGGGCTGGATCCCAGGACCCTGAGATCATGACCTGAGTTGAAGGCAGACACTTAACTGACTGAGCCACCCAGGCAAACTATGGGTGTATTTTCTTGAACAGAAATTGTAATTTTTACTTGTAAAATAAATTTTTTTTAGAGAGGGAGAGAGAGAGGGAGTAGGGAGGGGCAGGGGGAGAGGGAAAGAGAGAATCTTAAGCAGGCTCCACACCCAGTGTGGAACTTGACGCAGGGCTGGATCTTACAACCCTGAAATCATGACCTGAGCTATAGTCAGGTGCTTAACCTACTGAGCCACCCAGGAACGCCTCCCTACATGTAAAATCTTTTAATATTTTCCTTTATGATTTCTCAATTTCAGTTCATGCTTAGAAAGAACAGTGTCAAATAAAAATATTGTAGTTTTATTATTTAAAATTTTTTCTAAGATTTTTTAAGTAATTTCTTTTTTTTTTTTTTTAAAGATTTTATTTATTTATTTGACAGAGAGAGACACAGTGAGACAGGGAACACAAGCAGGGGGAGTGGGAGAGGGAGAAGCAGGCTTCCCGCGGAGCAGGGAGCCGGATGTGGGGCTCGATCCCAGGACCCTGGGATCATGACCTGAGCCGAAGGCAGACGCTTAACGACTGAGCCACCCAGGCGCCCCTTAAGTAATTTCTACACTCAACATGGGGTCCAGACCTATAACCCAGAGATCGAGTTGCATGATCCACTAACTGAGCCAGCCAGGTGCCCCCATATTGTAGTTTTTAAAATATGCTTTTGGATTTGACACATAAAACTTTATTGCTTCTGGAATTTATTTTTGTGTATTATGGTGTGAGGTAGTATTTCTTTTTTTTCTAAATAGAGGGTAATTGTCACAATTATAATTGTTTTATAATTCATTCCCACTTATTTGAAATTATCCTTTTATCTTCCACTTAGTTCTCCAATATATCTAGATTTTCTGTTCTCCTTCACTTCCATCTCTTATGAGAATGAGTCTAGTGCTTCATCATTAAGGATATTTGTTTTTGTGTTTATTTGAAAATGTTTTGATCATGTTGAAGGAATTTCTACCTTTAATAAAATCTTTAAACAGTATATTGTTGTGGATGTCAATTTTTTTTTTCAAATGTATTTTTCAGGATCTATTAGAATGACCCAATTATTGTTCTTATTTAGTCTTGCACTATAATAATTTTTATCGATAGATAGCTACTGTTCAACCTTTTTTGCACTCTTAGTATAAAGACTAAATGTTTTAATGTTATTCATAAGTTGCTGGATATAAATTTTTAATATTATACATAAGAGGCTTGCATTTATATTTCTTTTTTTTTTTTTTAAGATTTTATTTATTTATTTGACAGAGAGAGACAGCGAGAGCAGGAACACAAGCAGGGGGAGTGGGAGAGGGAGAAGCAGGCTTCCCGCTGAGCAGGGAGCCCGATGTGGGACTCGATCCCAGGACCCTGGGATCATGACCTGAGCCAAAGGCAGACGCTTAACGACTGAGCCACCCAGGCGCCCTTGCATTTATATTTCCTAGCAAAACTGACACATTGTTTTCTGCCTTTGTCATCTTTTTGTCAGGTTTTGATACCAAGTTTTTTTTTTAGGATTTTATTTATTTATTTGAGAGAGAGAGAGCACGAGCAGGGTGGAGGGATAGAGGGAGAGGAAGAAGCAGGTTCCCTGCTGAGCAGGGAGCCCTATGTGGGGCTTAAGCCCAGGATCCTGGGATCATGGCCTGAGCTGAAGGCAGATGCTTAACAGACTGAGCCACCCAGCCCCGCCCCCCACAAGTTTATGCCTGACTCAGAAAATACATTTACATACGTTTTTTCTTTGTTTTTTTTTCTTCTATGCCCTGGAATTTTTAAAATAATATCTTAATTGTATCTTCCTTGAAAAATTGAAATAATTAATGTAAGAAAGCACACTGGTCTGGCAGTTTTTTGAATCTAGGTATGTGACAATTTCCTCATCTTTTCCCCATGGTTTTAGTTTTTTTTTTCTCCTTTATGTGGTCAATTTTAGTAGTGTGCATTTTCCTGTAAGAATAGCCCTAGGTTTTCAAATTGTTAGCATGGTATTGTTCAAAGTAGCCTCTTACACTTTTTTTTCAAAACCTTTGTGTTTCT